AAAAAAAAAAAAAAAAAACAGAGACACTAGATTTATCTTTCCCGTACGTTTCTAGGTAATCAAACAGAGTGTTAGGGTTATTCGTGGAGCAAGAGATTTGGGACAGATGCGAATGAATTGGGAATAAAAATGGAGTTGATCGAAAGATATATAACGATCTCATTTGCTGAGATCGAAACGAAAAGGGGAAATTAACATATAAACAGAGATTGACAGAATGTGTTTGCATACCTTTTGATCGGAGAGAACTTCGCTGGTGTGAGTGAGGAAAAACAATGAACCTCAGTAGACAGTGGCGAGTGGATACTGCTATCTTTGTTTCTGACTTTTTTGCCTTGTTTTTGAACGGATTACATTGGGGGTGGAGGGATTCGAACCCCAGCCACCTTACAATGAGTAGTGAACGGGCCGAGTCCTCAAAAATGGTTAACCTATAGAATGTATGACAATCGACTCTCCAAAGAACCATCGCGCCAGTCCTTTGAGAGAGAATCATTTGGTTCTTGAGACGAGTCCTATTAACCAAAGAGAATTCCGCATGCAACACTAGGCCCTGAGGCAATTTATACGAATTAAGGAAAATAACTCTCACTTAACATTAGATATAATATTTTGTTAGTTTTGTTAATTAATTATCAATTTTATTAGTTAATTGTTAGTTTTATTAATTGACTATTATCATCCATTAACATTTCGTTAATAGAACTAATAAATAAAATTAAATTTAAATTTTATATTTTTTATAACGAAATACTAATGGAGGTTAATAGTTAGCTAACAGAACCAACAAAGTGTTATAACTTAATATTAAGTGGGAGTTATTTTTTTCAATTAGTATAGGTGAGAGGTCAAAAATATCATAATATAAGATGAAGGGTTAAAATTTATCAATTTTGTAAAGTGATAAGCTAAAAATCTATTAATTTTGTAAAGTAAAGAGTTAAAATTTATCAATTTTGTAAGGTAAATGACTAAATGTTGGTTTTTACCATTTTATCTTTTCCATCAAACTTCTATTAGTCAGATGGACTAGGGAACTTCAAAGAGCAAAAACCAGGAAAGTCACGTATGGAAGAATAATTGAAAAGAAAAATGACGATACACTCTTTAGTTTGACAAGCTATTTAATACTCATTTAATTTAATTATTAAAATATAACATAAATGTAATTAATATAACAAGTTCTCACATGTTGTATGTATAATTATATTTTTAAGTTTATTTACTTTTAATTTCATATAAAATAATAATAATTTTTTTAATAAATGCATTATACAATATATTCAACTTGAAGTTATATCAATTTATGTTCTTTTTAAAAACCTAGTTCCTATGCTCATAAGATTAGCTATGCTAACCAAACCACTAGTTTTGTGAGAGGGATTGCATATTGTAACCTTGTAATTATCATATCATAAGAGAATTAATAAAAAATAATTATTACTTTAAAAGTAAGGTGTATGAATTACCTAAAGGAATTGTTGAGATGAGGGATGGTTAAGGAAAACACCAATTTAAAGCATGTACAGTGGAGTTCTCTTCAATTGTTCTTTCCCAAAAGAAAATAGAGATAGAGCCTTGTATGTAATTGAGTTTGTCTCCCTACAAAGATCAAGCTTGGTTACAATTTTTTAAGCACCAAAATGCGGTAGTGCACTGTGGGCAATGAGTTTTAAGCCATTGAATCAAAGGTTATTTTATTTTATTTTTAATTTTTAATTTTTAATTCAAATTTTTTATTTAAATATATAAAATATGAATTAAATAAATTAATATTAATAAGCTCTATGCATTAGAGGAGAGATGTTTTATTAAATGTTCTATTTTTGTGTTAAATATATAAAAATATAATTTTTTATAAAATAATATCAATTATGATGATAGGACATTAAACTAAGCTTTTTCATTATTATGTTACTCATTATACATGCCCTTAGAACTAAAATGGAGTTGGGGACTCAAATAGTACCAAAAAAAGTTGAGGACCAATCCGATATCAATTGACAAAGTTGAGCGACCGAATACGTAAGTAAACCATTGAAGGGAGAGACTCGACGATCCTACAGTCTCCTCTTCCACTTTTTATACCGCGAATCCGACAACTCCGTCCATCTTCTCCCTTCCCCGATAAGCTTCGAAAATGTCCTTTCTCCTTCCCAAACGCACTCCTCTCCTATCCAACACTTCTTTCCACCTTCTGCTTTTCCGGCCGCCAACACACTTCTCAACCTCCACTGCCAATTCCAGCACAGCACCGCCACAAGAGACAACCGCTGCCGCCATCTCTAACCTTGTTCTTACCTCCACCGACCGGGACACCCTGTCTCAAGTCCTCTTCTCTCCTTCCATCACCTGGACCCCTCACCTGGTAGATACCATCATCAAGCGCCTCTGGAACCACGGTCCCAAGTCCCTCCAATTCTTCCACATCCTCCTCCATCATCCCGTTTACTGCCACTCCTCATCCTCCTTTGACCACGCAATCGACATTGCCGCCCGCCTCCGCGATTACAAAATCGTCTCGTCTCTTCTACACCGGCTACGATCCATCCGTCTGGGCCCCTCCCCAAGGACCTTCGCAATCGTGACTGAAAGGTACGTCGCCGCTGGAAAATCCGATAAAGCTGTTAATTTGTTCCTGTCAATGCATAAGCATGGCTGTTTTCAGGATTTGCATTCTTTTAATTCAATGCTTGATGTTCTCTGCAAAGCAAGACGTGTAGAAAAGGCATATAATTTGTTTAAGGCTCTAAGAGGGAAGTTTCATGCTGATGTTGTGAGTTATAATATAATTGCAAATGGTTGGTGTTTGATTAAGAGAACGCCCAAGGCACTGGAGGTGTTGAAGGAGATGGTGGAGAGGGGGTTGAGTCCTAATTTGACTACTTATAATATAATTCTCAAAGGTTATTTTAGGACTGGTCAGATTAAGGAAGCTTGGGAGTTCTATTTAGAGATGAAGAAGAGGAAGTGTGAGATGGATGTTGTTACTTACACCACAATGGTTCATGGGTTTGGTGTTGTAGGGGACATTAAGAGGGCACGAAATGTGTTTGATAGTATGGTCAAGGAAGGGGTGCTTCCTTCTGTTCCAACTTGTAATGCTTTGATTCAGGTATTGTGTAAGAAGGATAGTGTGGAAAATGCTGTCTCGGTTTTTGAGGAGATGGTAAGTAAGGGTTATGTGCCTAATTCGACTACTTACAATGTATTGATTAGGGGATTGTGTCATGCTGGACAAATGAGCAGGGCAGTGGAGTTTATGGAAAGAATGAAGGATGATGAATGTGAGCCAAATGTGCAAACATACAATATTGTAATTCGATACCATTGTGATGCTGGAGAGATTGAGAAAGGGTTGGAGTTATTTGA